ATATCCTTTGTCAGATCAATATATATATATATATATATATATATATATTGATCTGCATACATATTTGTACAAATTCGATCCAGGTGAGCGTTTGATTGGACGGACCTTAAAAATCCCCATAAAAGGTACTTTTCGGACTTCGCGATCTGGTTCGGGGAGCTGGTTTCGTTATTTTTATCGCGGACCTCCCATCATGGGCACGAGCGCTACAAGGGGGCTTTTTTTTGCTTTCTGGCACTTTGGGTGATTTCTCTCGTGGGCTCGGCTCACTCACCTCTGGTGATGCTCGGGTTGGAAGGCCTGGCGGTGCTGCACGTGGCGGTATCCCTCGTGGCGGTGGGGCTTAACCGGGCAATCAACACCTGCCCTCCACTGCAGATTTCCTATCCATACAGCTTTCATTTCGACCGACTGCACATCGTGATTCGTTTTGGGGGCGTCCTTTCATTCCTCTTTGGCTGCTTCATCTGCGTGTTAGCATCCCTGCATCATGCGATGCACAGCGACGAGTTGAATCCGATCCGGCTCGCCGTGGTCTCAACGACACATCTGGGGTTGACTTTTTTCGTCCGCGATGATATCCTGCTCGCGGATCGCGTGTTTGGCTGCTCCAGTGGGTTGTTTGAATCCTGCCGGGAGGAGCGATGGCTTGAGTTGTTTATCAACCCACCTTCCAATTCCAACTCGATTGATCCCGCAAATGTTTCGCTCACCACGGGGGGTGCGGGGTCATCTTCGAAGCACTCTCAAAGCGGAAATGGTGCCGTCGACACCAAGAGCAGCCCGCTCGCCATCCCTGAACACACGAAAGTACTTCCACGGAGCCGTTTCTCCGAGATGCTAGGGTTGTTTCTCATGCCGTTCGCAGGATTGTTGACGTCATTTCTGATCTACTGTTTCAATTACCAACACATTGATTTGGTGTGTGCGGGGCTTCTGATTCCCTTTTACATCGTTATAGGCCTCCGTCAATGCCGCTCAATGGCTTGGGTTCTACTTAATAATTCCGTACGCGACGCTTCGACGACGGCCCACATAGATTCCATTTTGAACAATCTGAATCATATTGATGGTGTTGTAAACGTGCACTCACACGTTTGTTTTGTGGTGAGCCCGGTAGACATTCTTGCGATTGTGCGGTTGTGTGTGAAGTGCGACGCGGATGCCTGTGTGGTGTCGACGACGGCTCGAAAATCCTTAATGCAGGTTTCGAAGTATGCATATGTGGAATCCTTTTCAGCGGATATCACCGAGGTGGAGCTCCCAAGTTTTGCATTCAACGGTAAGACGATTTCCCATCATACGCATCATCACGGTTGTGGCCATGACGACAATGGTGGGGCGCATGGTCACCATGCTCATTAGCATTGTGAAGGCCATTCGTTCGTTTTCTGGGATTTGCCGCTGGCTTCTCTGAAGCTTCGTCTGTATGAGGCTCCAAGCGAGTTTAAAGGGGCCTTCAGTTAGCTAATTTCAAGCGAACAAGGGGGTACTCCAGGAACTGCACTATTGATTTTTATTCCACAAATATCTAAGCTTTCTTGTTGTGTGGCTGGATTCAGCTGACCTCTCACGATGGAGACGAGACGAGGGATTGTCATGCGGCAACACCGTGGGTTCGGCCTCTTCTTCTTTCATTCTAAATCTCTACAATAGCTTAAATTTTCCTATTTGTTGTTTAAATATTCTTTAATTCTTCGTTCGGGTATTTAATGCACCCTCATTTCCAGTCGTACTAGAGGATGAGGATCAATGCCGAGAATTCTACTTTGATGAATCACCATCCACACATGATCGTTTGACAAGCAGCGAATACTTTGCATATATTATCGTTGGTGAGGGTTGATATGCTGATGCCTTTCTCCTGATTAGGTTTCTTGTTTCCATATGGGTTCTTATTGACATGCAGAATTGCTGTCATCAGGTAGAATGTTTTCATTAGTGTACAGTACTAATATATCAGCGTATATGCATAGAACATATGACAAGAATGAGCTTTCTAAACCCTTTAAGCCGTACATTAGACCTGTGTGAAAGCGAGAGTGCAGCTTAAAGTAATAGTCTAGCCATTTATAATTCGACTTTTTTAAAGTTTTGACGATGCTTTTAAGGTACGATGTGGCTTCTTCTAATGGAAAATTTTTTTGTTTTCTTTACTGGAGGAGCTTTAACTACTTGAAAGGCTATGTAGATTATTGTTTTGAATATTTTCATTCTATAGTGTCAAAATAAAGAAAATTTCTCATGCGAGTGTCCTTTTTTGTTTCCAATAGCTTATTCATTTTCTTAATGAAGCTGTGTTCATTTGGGAGCGTTGTGCGTGAGTCTGGGCTAATAAGAGCACCAATCGCCAACTTATCAAATTTGACCTTAAAAATCAGAGGGGGAAATGCGTTTGTTCATATGTTGACCTCCTTTATATATACATATATATATACATCTATATGGGTCTGTGAGTGGGTGTATTACCCCTTCTCTACTCTTCCATTCCCCTCTTCCCTCATTTTTTTTTTTCAAATTTATTTCTCGTTGTCGGTCTCCCCATCACCAGATTAGGGCTGACGTAGAGAGAAAGAGACATGCTGCGAAAGGCCGTACCGCTTCGCGTGAAGTACGGCTCGACGCCGAAGGAGATCCGATACGGGGTGGCGGCCCGCCAGGCGCTGCTCACCGGGGTGGAGAGCCTCGTCCGGGCGGTGGGGGTCACCTTAGGGCCGAAGGGCCGCAACGTCGTCCTGGAGGTCCCCTACGCCGCGCCGAAGATCACCAAGGATGGGGTGACCGTCGCAAAGCAGATCGAATTCGAGGATAGTTTTGAAAACCTCGGGGCGAGCCTCGTGCGGCAGGTCGCCGGGCTCACGAACGATCACGCCGGGGACGGCACGACGACCGCGACGGTGCTCTCCGGCGCGATCTTCCGGGAGGGCTTCCGCAGCGTCTCGAGTGGGACGAATCCGATGGATTTGAAACGCGGCATCGACCTCGCCGCGCGGGAGGTGTTGCGTTCGCTCGCGGAGCAGGCGCGGCCGGTGACGTCGAAGTCGGAGATCACCCAGGTCGCGATGATCTCCTCCAACATGGACGCGGAGATCGGGGCGTTGATCGGGGATGCGATGCAGCAGGTCGGGAAGGATGGCGTCATCACGACGCAGGAGGGGCGGTCGTTGAATACGGAGCTCGAGTTGGTGGAAGGGATGTCGATCGAACAGGGCTTCACCTCGCCGTATTTTGTTACCAATACCAAGGCACAGAAGTGTGAGTTGGAAGGCCCGCTCGTGTTTGTGGCGAATCGAAAGCTCAGCAGCGTCGCGCATCTCCTCCCCGCGCTGAACTACGCGATTCAGCAGAAACGACCACTTCTCGTGCTCGCCGAGGAGGTCGAGGGGGAGGCGATGCATACGTTTTTGTATAACAAACTCCAAGGGCGCATCAAAGGGTGCGTGGTGAAGGCCCCCGGGTTTGGGGATATGCGGATCAACCAACTTCAGGACATCGCCGTGTTCACCGGCGCCCAGATGGTTTCCGAGGACCTCGGCCTCTCGCTCGATCAGAACGACTTCTCCGAGGGTTTGCTCGGCTCCTGTGGGAAGGCGACGATCTCGCGGGATGAGTGTATTCTGCTGGAGGGCGGCGGCAGCGCGATCGCGATCGAGGAGCGGGTGCAGATGATTAAGGATATGATCTCCGCCGAGGATCACGAGTTTAACCGCGAGCGCCTCGTGGAGCGGCTGGCGAAGCTCTCCGGCGGGGTGGCGGTGATCAAAGTCGGGGGCGCCTCCGAGGTGGAGATTAATGAGCGAAAAGATCGCATCGTCGACGCCCTCAACGCGACGCGTGCGGCCGTTTCGGAAGGAATCCTCGCAGGCGGCGGCACCGCGTTGTTGATGGCCTCGCTACGGCTCGAGGAGCTCGTGAAGGATCGCCGGCTGCCGTCGGATATTCGAACGGGGGTGAATATCGTCAAACGCGCGATCGGGCTGCCGGCGCGGTATATCGCGAACAACGCCGGGGTGGAAGGCAGCGTCGTGGCCGGGAAGATCCTCGCCCGGCGGGATCCGAGCTTCGGCTACAACGCACAGACAGGGGAGTACGTGAATATGTTCGAAACGGGCATCATCGATCCGATGAAAGTCGTAAAGTCGGCGGTGGTGAACGCGTGCTCGGTGGCGGGCATGATGATCACCACGGAGGCTGCTGTGGTCGAGAAGGACCTACCCACGCTGCGCAAGCGCGTGGAGGATGAAGGGATGGAGAACACGCACAAAAAGCAGGAGTTCGAGAACTTGCGCAAGAGCGTCAATGAGCGGAACGCGCCGATGCCAAAATTGGCTCCACCGATGAAGTTTGACATGAAGGGGCTGTAAGTGGTCGCAAAAAAAAAAAAGAACGCCCCCATTTTCGAAGCGGAGAAGGAAAAGGTGGAACTATAAATTGTGATAACGTAGGACCGAGGACGTCCGTGAAACGATCCTTAGATGCTGGGCTTACAACTTTGCACATATGGTGACTTTGGAATATAGCAACGTGATATTGATTAATTATTATCGTGATGAGATTTTTTTTCTTTTAGGAGGATGTTGAATTTATGATGCTCTTTTTCTTCTTTCTTTTGGTTGGTTATATGGGTGATTATGCGCACCTTTATGTTCTTCACAATTTATGTGGGTGCTTGTAGCTTTGGTTTGGAATCGTCGAAAAGGTTAGACAAGAATTGATGAAAACTCGAAATAGGAGCAGAAACAGTGGAGGGATAAGGTGGAGAACTGCACGTCGTGGTCATGAAAGGTGAGGGCACTGAAAGCAATGGGTATAACCTTAGGTTATCCGCCGAATAAGATTCGATGCAAGGATTCCACTTTGGTGGTTGCTTTGTTTACGGAGGGCCGAATTTGGTTTTACCACCATTATTATCACCTTTTCGTTTACTCTAAAATTCCCCTGCTACATTAATCAGCGACACAATGAAGTTTTTTTTTATCAGTCGCGTGCCCATATATATACATAAACAAACGTGTGTCTATATATATTTATATACAGTATCTCATAATCTTCTTCCAATTATTGTCACATCTTCTTTTTCAAAAGAAAAATAATTAAGGGTGTCATACACACTTCTTTATTATTATAGATCTTTCTTTTTATCAAAAAGCAACATAAATTAAGCTTATGGAGCAGTCCCTCCCTGAACCTGTTAAGAAACTCACCCCCGCGAAAGTATTCGAGGACAAACCCGATAATGAGCGAAATCCGATCAAGCTCATCCTCCTCGGCGACAGCGCCGTCGGCAAGTCGAAGCTGGTCGAGCGCTTTCTCATGCAGCGCTACGTTCCCGTGCTGATGTCGACTTATGCATTAACGCTCTACCGCTACGACTTCTCCACAGAGGATGGGGTGTCGTACGATGTGGATATTTGGGATACCGCCGGGCAGGAGCGCTTCGCGACGATGCACCCGGCTTATTACCACGAAGCGCATGCCTGTATCCTCGTCTTCGATGTCACTCGAAAGGCAACATATAAAAACTTAGATAAATGGTTAAAAGAGCTGCGTAATTATCGCCCGCACATCCCATGCATTGTTGCGTGCAACAAGATTGATACAGACCCCGAGGTTGTCTCGACGCGCTTCGCCTTCGCCGCGAAGAATCAGTTCCCCTTGGAGTACGTATCAGCCGCGCATGGTACCAATGTCGTGCAGCTCTTTGAGAAGGCAATATTGTATGCATCGATGTATAAAGAAAATCCTCAAAAAGACGACATTGTAGCGCAAGTTTTGACGATTTTGAAGACTAAAGATAATTCGAATGAAGGTAGCAAGCCACAACACACGAGTGGGTAGACAGCGGGAAACAACAGTTTAGGCGGAAAATCGTCTGGTCCATCCTTTTTGTTCTTTTATTGTTTTTCAAATCATTATCGCGTCCATAAGAATCAGCGCAGGCAGCTTAGGAAGCGTGGTATTCTTTATCAATGTGAAACTATCATTAGACAAACATTAGGCCTTTGCTTTCCTTTTGATCCGATTCTAGAGTTGACCCTTGAAGTGGGTTACTTTTCCATGCCAGATTATTGGCTGAATCGCGTAAAGAAGCCGTGGGATTTATCGAGACAGAGCCATTTATGGAAGGTTTGTGGGGCTCGAAAAGAAAATAAGAGATTCAAGTGATAAGTATGAATTTATACTTCCCAAACAAACCAATGTGAAATTTAATTCCGAAGTTAGCGGTGTTTTTTTCATTTGTATGCCTTTTGCTTGGATAACTCGTCTTGAATTGAGTTTTGGTCGTGATGTGGGCCTGCTATTTCCCTGGGCCACCCCATGATGCTAGGTTCCACCCTTCGATTTCTTTCTTTGGTTAAATAGCAAGCGATTCCATCAGAATTCGAATATCTTTATTTCCATATTTTCATCAGTCGTTAATCCATGCCCTTTGCCGCCGCCGAGCTTCCCTACGCGACCGACGCCCTCGCCGCGAAGGGCCTCTCCAAGGAGCAGGTCGAGTTCCACTACGAGAAGCATCACAAGGGCTACGCCGTCAAGCTGAACGCCGCGGCGGAGACCAACCCGGAGCTCGCGAGGCTCTCCGTCGTCGAGGTGGTACGGACGATGAAAGGGCCGATCTTCAACTCTGCCGGGCAGCTCTTCAACCACGACTTCTACTGGCGTTCCTTAAGCCCGAATGGCGGTGGGGAGCCCACGGGGGCTCTTGCCGCCGCCCTCGCCGCCGATTTTGGCAGCGTGGCGGCCTTTAAAGCGGCCTTCACGGCGGCCGCAGGGGGGCATTTCGGGTCGGGATGGGCCTGGCTCGTCCACGACGCCGCGAGCGGGACGCTGAAGGTCTACCAAACCCACGACGCGGGCTGCCCGCTCACGGAGCCCGGGCTCACCCCTCTCCTCGCCTGCGATGTGTGGGAGCACGCGTACTACATCGACTACCGCAACGACCGGCCGCGCTACGTGGAGGCGTGGTGGGGGCTCGTGAACTGGGAGTGGGCGGCGGCCCAGTATGAGAAGGTGCGGGCCTAGAAGGGAGGCAGCGAGCGAGCGAAGGAAAGAACGAAAGAGAGAGAGAGAGATCCAGTCCACGCCTACCCATCGAACGTCAATACATGACTTAATATCCATCTGTATATCTATACTATACGATCGATAGATAGAAGGAGAAAGGGTAGGTCGAAAGGGCTGGCTGAAATGCCGCCATACTGGGGCTTGCTCCTTTGCCTCTTCTTCGTTGTGGATGACGTGGTTTCTCGGGCAGAGGCTAGAATCGGAGCTCACCAGTTTGGGATTATACATTTTTTTTGTCTGTTTTTATTTTGGGTAAAGATAAGAGGTGAGAAAATACTCACATATTATATATACATTATATTTAAATACAGATTATATGTAGCACTTGCTCTAAATAAATTGAGGTTTCCTTTCTTGGTGAATAAGCTTGCTTAGTGCCTTTTTTACTCGGATTCTGGAATATATGCATACCCCCCAAATGCATTCTAAATTTGAAGCTTTGGATCACATTATTTTATGCTTATTATCACTTATTAGCTTCTTTTTAAATTGAGAAGTTTAAAGTTTGTTGTGGGAATTACATGTGGTAAAAATCTAAGGCGCATGTAGGTAAATATTAGGGAGTAAAAAAATTAACCAATCTTCATTAGTATCTTGCTCCGCGTGATCTAGGATGTTTTTACTTTTACGGTAAATATTGTGGTGCGAAGTGCAGTTTTTTCTTCATTTCCATTTGAAACAATAAGGCTTGTAAAGATGCGTGTGCAAAATTTATTGGAATAAAACGAATTTCACGTACGCCATATAGGATAATTCCCTAATTTTTTATTTAAATTTTATCTTGATTATGGGTACTTAGTTTGTAGTGATTCAATGAAAAAATGAAAGGAAATATTGATTGTCAGGACTTTGAATTTCCATGTCATCTTTGTCTGGATCACTTTGTCTTCGCTTGGATTCGGGCAATGGCGTCATCAAAAGCCAAATGTCTAACTTAATTTTAGTCTCATTCGCCGTTTTTTTTGTCTAGCATATTAGTTATTTAGTCATATTAATGTAATACTGTTTAAACAAGTAAACTGAAGAAAAAAAAGGCAGATAGTTCATTATAGCACTATATTATTTGCAATTTTTTTTATCAAAAAAGTGCAAATATGGGTCATGGCCTCTTCGTAGGTTCACGCCGTGCTAGAGCCTCCAGCCCGTCAAATAAGTCAAAGCAAAAAAATTCCAGTCACCGTTCTCGGCCCGGTGAGAATCTTCAGCCCGTTGCGCAGTTTAATTCTGTGCAAATTGGTGTTCATAGTCCTGTTGGAGCGCTTCGTGAGGGGCAACGCGACGGATCCTCTCCTCTGACGGATCTGCAGGCTTCCAGTAGACCCGGCGATGGAGGCAATCTTCCCCACACCCCTTTGGTAAGTATGGATGCAATCCTTGGCAGCGAGGGCAGTGGCTCGAAGTACATTAAGAGGCGGACAATTGGTAAAGGGTCTTTTGGCGAAGCTTATATTGTCGAACGGAATCCATTGTACGATCCAATAAAATGCCCATTAGCGCAGACCCAACTGTGTGCTAACATCCCTACCTACCCAACGCAACCGGGCAGGCTGTATGTTGCCAAGGTGATGGATTTGCGTCTAATCAGTTCACAAGATCGCCAGAACTCTTACGCGGAGATTGCCTGCCTCACCCATACTTGCCATTTTGCGATTATTCGTTACTACGAGCACTACATATTGGAGGGTGGGGAGGATACACTTATTATTATAACCGAGTTTGCGGACCATGGGGATCTTAGGGGAAATCTTACCTGCACCAGGCAGAACGTGATGAAAGGGGATAACCGCACCGACGAATCGGTCTATTCGCTCCAGTTAACCGAGCGTGAGGCTGGGACCTACTTCGTCCAGCTCCTCCTCGCCCTCCAGCACATCCATAAAAACCGCATGATCCATCGTGATGTGAAAAGCGCGAACATTTTTCTCACCTCCCATGGCATCATCAAACTCGGCGACTTTGGCTTCTCCAAGAAGTTCGAGACGACCATCAGCAGCGAGACGGTCGCCGGGACCTTCCTGGGCACCCCGTACTACCTCTCCCCGGAGATGTGGGAGGGAAAGCGGTATGGAAAGAAGGCGGATATCTGGGCTGCGGGGATTATTCTCTACGAGATGCTCATGGGGGGCGCCCGCCCTTTCAGCGCGGGGAGTCTGATGGAGCTGCGGGAGTCCGTGCTGCATCACGAGGTGGAGCTCCTGGAGGCCCCTCCACGGGGGGTGGGGGAGGGCCCCGGCGGCGAGCTTGGCTCCTCGCACGGTGAGGGGGAGGGCTTCGCGGCCCCCAAGCGAGGGCCCTTTTCCTTAGAGATGCGCGAGCTCATGCGGTCGATCTTGGCGAAGGATCCGCACGAGCGGCCGGATTCCGAGCAGCTCCTCCATACCCCCATTATGCAGCACTACCTCTTCGTGTTTGAGCGTCATGTACAGAGTTTGATCGAATCCGACGCGCAGGCCCTCGCGGCCAACCCTAACTGCCGCGACTCCCTCGCCTTTCGAGACGTTCAGGAGCGGGAGTTGATGCTGAGGAATATCGAGGAGGCTAAACGGATTATCGAGGTCGCAGTCCAGCGAGGGCTACAGGAGGGGGATTCACTTCGCTATGAAGGAGTGGTCTATAAGCGGAATAAGGATGGCAGTTGGAAAGAGCGCTATTTGATTCTTTCCGAAGACTTTTTGATCATTTCGTTATCACGGAACAAAGAGGCTGCAGACGGAACCGAACGCAGTCGGAAGGTCCCGCTTAAGCTGGTAAAGTCAGTAAGCCGCTGTGCGGTAACTGATCTCCTTTCTAAGTCTTCGGAGGAAGGTGGAAACGCTGAGAAGGTGCAACCTGCGTATGCCTTTGCTTTGTTCATGATGGAAAGCACCCAGCCGATATTCTTCGGTGTTCATAAGGAGGAGGAGCTTTACCACTGGATCAATTGTTTGATTAAAGCACTGAAGATCGATTAGCTGATCATGTTGCCCGTAAAACAATAAAAACTTCAGCATCTTTTCTCATTAAAGACTGTGACTATATGTATGTCATAGGGGATAGATGAAAAGAAGGAAGACAGTTTGTAGAACTGATGGCATTTAGTGAAATAAGTCTAAATATTGTGCGGAATCAAACCTAGATATAATATCCCTAATGCTAAAGTTTACAAATTTGTTATTTTTTTTTAATTTTCAATGTACTGCTGCCTTTTTTTACTCATTAAGAAGAGGAATGCAAAAGAAGCGAATGTCCTGAGCCAATATGACAGAAGAGGTCATACAGAGTGTTTCCTCAAGGAATAGACGTTTTTTTTTGTTATGTGGCGGTTTATTCTTTTGCGTTATTTTTCCATAAACTATCTCTTTTTGGAGTTTAATTTTCTTTAGTTCTTGTAGATTACCCAACGTTTTTTGGTCTCTAAGTATAGGAAATGGATGCCTCGATAGGAAAACGGAACTTAATTGTCGACGAGAGCTATTCCAGAGCAGATACCTCTCTGTGGGATGATAGCGATCTGGTGCGGTTGTGGAACGAGCAGCTGAAGGTGATGAACAGCAAGGAAGGGACCGGTCGGCTGAGCTTACCGCGAGAGCCCTCTCTTTCGCAGGGGAGTGGAGCCGAGGCGGATTCCCACGCCGAGTCTAGTAGCCGCGCGAGCGAATCGGTTGAGAGGAGCACGCCGTCTCCCACCGTGACGGCGAGCGAGGCGTCGTATCCCGGAATCACCGACCGCGAGCCTCATAAGCGCGCACGCCAAGAGCCTGGGAATGCCCTTGCTTTGCAAACTACGCTTCCTATCGCCCATTTACCCCGTGAGGTGCGGCAGCTGGTAGTTTCTTTCTACACTGCTGGGTATGAAGCGGGCAGGTATGCCGCCTGCAATGAGGCGCGTCAAGGGAAAGAGAAACGAAGCCGTCATTGAATTGGAGATCGCAAAGGAGGAGAAAGGGTGGATGGAATATCACACCCGTGCCTTGGGGGACTTGGGGGTGTCCATGGGGGATGGTTAGACGCATATCCGATAGAAAGAAGTTGCGATTCTAATGAAGAATGTTGGCTCGATTTTGTTTTTTTTGTTTCGAATGCCATGTTGGGGAGCGCGTTGTTTTCAAGGTTATAAGTGGGCAAATAGAAGGAAAGGAGTTTCCTTTTCACATGGTATTTGTGAAATTTACCTTCATGCTTGTTATTTCGATTTTCATATTTTCTAGAGAAACTTCTTATATATTGAATTGTGCCTTTTTACAATGTTTCTCATTTTTTACTTTTCTTCCCAGACAGAACCTGAAATAGACTTGTCACATCCTGTGCAACATCGAAGTAAAACAAAACCACAAGTGAAAGGTTCCAAATAAGGACAATAGACTAGGGAGAAGGTTCTATTTCAATGCGCGGGAATCGGTTGGCGCGGGGCGGCGACCCCATGAAAACGCGCTCACAACGACGCAAAGAGAAGAAGGAGAAGTTATCCAAAACCAACCGAGTGAAGCGACTGAAGAAACGGCTGGGTCGGATCGCGTCGAGGGACTTTGCTCGTCAGGAGGACGCACACACAACCTCGCTGATGGAATCCTACATCCTCCGCCGAAAGAAGGAGAGAGCAGAGGAACGAGCCAAGGCGGCTCAGGAAAAGGGTGAAAAAGGGCTGAGCCCTGCCGTGGGTGGTGATGTCAAGGGAAAGATGAGGGAGAACGCCCCTAAGGAAGGTTCTTCGCCTAGGGTGTCTTCTCATAAGACCAACGCCCGCGTGAATGACGCGCGGAAGGGGAGTCTACAAGACTCAAATCGGGGGAATTCGAAAAAAGTCTTTACTCAGGCCCTGTACTAATAATGAGGTTTCCTTTCGCAGTATCGAGTGAACAGATCCCTTCCTCTTTGCGATTCGTGAAAAGTGGATTTGGATCCATGCCTGTTGACTTATTGTTTGGGGAAAGGAATACATAAGCAAATGTAAACTCATTACCATAAGAAAAGAAGTCGGTTAAATTCATTAATCATATTCACTTTTATCCTATATTTTTTTCTGTCGAGTTATTAATTTATACCAGATTGCTGCAAATGCGCACTTACTATTTTCATTCCATATATTTTTTCTTTGCAGGTTAATAAAAGTCCAGAGACTATGCCCCAAGAGCAGTTTTTTGGGCTTCCGGTTCATTCTCTTGTTGATGTACTCTCGGAACTACCCCTCCCGGACGGGTGCTCGATTAGCGGGGTGTCTCGTAAATGGCGCTGCGTTCTGGCGCCTTCTGTTCCGAGTTCAAAAGACCCTATTATCACCGAGGATCATGATGAAAAGGTCATGTCGTTTTTAGAAGCCGGCATCCCAGTGTTTGTCAGTTCTGAATACTCGCAGGATGCCTACCAGCAATGTGGTCCCAACGCGATTGCGCTCGTTACTGATCCACGGTGGAATAAATTAACAAAACCACAGATCGCACTGAAAGCGGGTTGGGGTAGTCCTGGCACTCACCCAGCGTCTTCCTGTTTTCACAAGCTCGTCAACTCCGTCGCTAGGGTATTTAACTATCAAACTGAGACGGATATCGCGTCTGAGGTGGGGTTTAAAAAAGTCCCGGAGAGCGGACTGACACTACCGACTAAGATGAAACCGCCTGAATACACGAGGCCATCATCAGAGGTGCTTGAGATGCAGCTTTTCCATAGTGAGGAGGTGGGATTCGCGGTTAGGGACGGCGTCAGGCTACCACCAATCGCCAATCGCCTTTGCTGGCCGACATTTCTGGGTGACATGGTTCCCACTGCGGTGGCCACATGCATTTCGGGCCGCGGCTTGATTCGTTGGTGGCAGTTAAACGACTGCGCTGAGTTTTTGATCCAAGCTGCACTGCCCCTGCCAACCGCTGGGGAGCTTGGGATTCATCCCGACGGTTCGCTTGATGCCAGCGGCCCCCACCAAAGGGTCGCGCGCGAGGTGAAATTGGGGGGGGAGGGCGGCAATCCCGATGCTCCCGTTAGGGTTTACCTCTTTGGTGAGAAAGGGAGCTACGACTGGTTTCTGCACGACGACGAGTCCGCCGTGAGTGAGGGCAGGGTGGTCGCCCTAGATATATTTAATACTCCGGACGAGGCGCTGCCCAACGACCCATCGTTGCTGCCTATCATTATCGTCGCCTTGGTTCACGCGGGAGGAGAGGTGCTGCTGGTCCCACCCAACGCCCCCTACATGTCCCTCACCCTGCGCCACAGCGTTTTGATCGAGAAGCGCGGTCTCAACCGTCTCTGGCTCGATGAGCTTTCCTACTTTTTAATCCGCTGCGCCCGCCTGGCGGTGTGGCCCGCGATCTACGACTACGTCGAGGTCGACCTGCAGAACGAGGACTACGTCACCCAGAGGCTTATTCCCTCTCTTTTTGACCTCCTCCGTCGCAGTGACGGCGGGGGTCTTCTCGAGGGCTGTCTGCGGCGTCGCGCGGCCGCCTCACTGCTCGCGATTGTGTCACACCCGACGCACTTCGCGTTGTCCCCGGCCTCCCGTGAGGCCCTCACACGGACGCTTCATAGTGAGGCCGGGGGGGTGCTGTCCCAGCCAACCCCTCCGGGGAGTCCTGGGTCAGGCCCGGTAGTGTCCTTGGAGGACGCCACACGTGCGCGTTGGGCCCTCCCAGGGTGGCGTTGGCCTCGTCCTGGGTGTGTCCTGCAGGCGCGGGACCGCACTGGGGCGGAGTGGGTCCTCCCGGTTGTCTACGTGGACCATCGCCCGGTCTTCGGGGTGGCGCGGCAGGACGTGGAGGAGACGCGGCGGGACTACGCCACGATGTCGGGGCTGGTGGACCGGCCCAAGGCGCTGTGGGCGTACCTGCGATCCCGAAAGTCCCCGGACGACGCCCTCTTGGAGGAGCTTTTTTGATTGGGTTAGAAATCGGTGTTTGGGGGTTGGTGTCCAGACGGACACTTTAATTGTGTAGCATGCTTCTACTAAATAAACAAAGAGAAACTGAACATCCGCACAGGTGTCGATTTAAGTCGCTCTTTTATCATCCACTTTGCATTTCCCACCCATACAGCTTACCGTTGAGGGTTTTGGTAGTACAATGTAGCTATCTTCGTGAATATTTATGATTCGTATTTGTCTTTTTTAGTTTTTGTGATAAAAGTTGTGCTTCTGAAGTTAAACTTCAGGAATACTATGACTGAGCTTTCAAAGAAGACTGGGTAAAAGTTCAAGCCACTTTTCATTGTGAAAGGTATAGTGCTACACAACCGTCACGAACCTTCTTAAGCGATTCATCACATGAAAAAGTATTATTTTACCACTTCTAAAGAGCCTCTGCCATTACCAATTCATATTAGTGGATCGAAATGGGAAGAGTAGAAATGGCGTGTGCCGACGAATCGTTGTAAGACGAGGTATGAGTTTGCTGCGGTGCAGAATATTCCCATTGAGGGCACTTGAGACTCTGATGATGGCCATGGTATTCTGGATACCAGCAACGAACAACTTCCCCACAACAGGGACCATGAGGACTGTGCGTATTGATCTTTTCGTAAGAAAAGCAAGTTCTTTACAGCAGCTTAAATTTTTTAGAGAATATCACGTTATTGACGCTTAATCTGTTGCACCAATGTGAACAGCTGCAGGAGCTCCAAACGTCTCGGAATGAATCTTCAGGGGTGGTAAATTTACCAGAAGATGCCCAACAAATTTTAGAGTTGTGCTTCTCTACGGTGTATCATTTTTTGCAAACCTTACTGTGTAATGAAAGGTGTGAATCTAATGACACGTGAAGAAAAAGAATTCAACTCATAGTGTATATTATTAATAGTCCATACCATACAGTATTTTTAAGATACTTTCTCATACATATATTAATGATCCACTTATAAAAGGAAAATATTTTTTATGGGACTATGTTTTTTTTATGAAATCATTTTATGCCAAAGGACTCGTCGCTGACGTGTTCATACTTACCCTTGCGCAAAATGATCTATGTGTTTCTTCTATCACTGCTAGTAACTATTATTTCTCATATTATCACTATTAATTCTTTTTTCTTGTTCAATTAATAACCTATTTTGTGCAGAGATTGAAGCTGTATATTCTTCCACATCCCTCCTCCCCCCCCCCCTTTACACATATACCTGTGTAACACAACGTTTTGATTTTTAACGTTATTCATATTATTTTTTAGGTACTGCTACAATGAGAAGATCGTTTCATCGTTGTATTTTCCCCTTGAAGACTCCAAAGAGTTCAACGGTTGAGGTTGCTAATGTCATTACTACGTACAGCTTGCGTTTCTATCACCTTCCAGGTTGGAAAACCATGACTAGCACTAAAGATACCCGTACTCGCGAGCAACGTGAGGCCGATCGCAAGGCCCGTCAAATCGGAAAACTACCGCGGCCCGAGGCTCTTCATGATTTTCAATATCCTTATGAGAAGACGATCCTTAGCGACTATATGTTTCAGTACCCTGTTTATGAGAATGAGCTGGACACCCCATCACTCTTCAACCTAGCCCCACCACCAGATTTTTTCCTGTATTGGAATTCCAAGGACTTTGAGCGCACTGCGTATCCGCCAGTCCCGGAGCAGGATCACCGTCTTCTTATTCCGTCTGCTAAGAATGAGGCGTGGACGGAGCACTCCGTGCGTGTGAGGAAATACCTTCGCAAGCATGAAATTAGCCCCAATTTCGTGCCGGTTATTCGCGCCAACGTTAACCTTTCGGTTGTTTTCCCAGGCCGGTATTTGGTGCGCGCCGTGTTAGATGAGGAGACCGGGCAGCTACCGCCCCCCCCACCGCCGGAGTCCACACTCACTCGGCAGAATTTCCCGTTTACGGCGCATTGCGGGAATTTTATCGAACTGTGCGAGCTGCAGCAGCCACCGTCCATTTTTTTTGTAGAGGAAAATCGCGAGGGAGCGGTCGACCCGCCTAGCTTTTACACCCTCGTGATCGTCTCCCCGGACTATCCGTATCGCGTACCGGGGTATGTCAATCGCCACCGCCCCGAGGATGGTTTTTTCCTGCATTATATGATCGCGAATTTACCCGGCGGCAATGAGGGGGGTGCCATTGCCCGATGCCCTCGTCACGACCGCGTCTTAAACGCGGCGGATCTTCGAAAAGAAGGAGAGGTTGTCATCCCTTACGTACCACCGTTGCCCACGGAGGATGCCGGTACGACACGCCATCTTTGTCTTCTCTACAAACAGACGAGAAAGGTGCGGGTGCACCCTCTCAGCGCGGAGGAGGAGGCTTCGCACTTCCCCCTCGCCGTGCGCAGTCAATTCCGCCTGCACGACCCTGACGCCCGCACACGGCGGGTGGGGGTTCCGGCCTGTTTAGCTTCCCTCCGCGTGGTGGAGGATGCGATACCGCCGGAGCCCTCGGCGGTGAGTTTCTTTCAAACCGCGTGGGATATTCAGGTTCAGGAGTTCTACGAGAAGCTCCACCTTCCGGAGCCGGCACTGCCCTTCGACGAGGAGATCGAGGCGTTGTTGGAGTTTCACGCGCAGGAGGCCGGGCGATTTCGCGTGCGCGCCCGACATCGCCCAGATGGATCAACGAACATGGGCAACGATCCTAGTTTTTGGGGGCAGATGGTGCCCACGCGCGTGCAGGATGGATCGATGCAGAAGCATTGGTCGCGGCGTACGGCGATGGGCGCCAACGGCGTGCCGATTGTCTACCCGCACTGAGGAGAATGGAAAAGGGAGAGAGAGAGAGAGAGAGTTTGCAGGGGGCGATTCTTTTTTCAGCGGATGGTTATTCTTTAATAGATGGGTGGTCTTGAGGTTGGGATGTGCTCTGCGAGAGGAATTGGGAACAGGACCACTGGTGGAAGGAAAGGGTAGTCGATGGAAATTGCCATGTGCTGCTGAGCTGCTTCTTTTGTTCCTCTCTTTTGAACTCTTTTTTTTTTGGTGTGTGTGTATCACCGAAAGGAATTTTGTGCAGGTTTGACAGGGTGAGGATTGGGGAGGTTGAGGAAACGAAGGAGAGAGATTCGTTTGGGCAGGCTCCCCATATTATCTTGGAAAATACTTTTTTATCCCGTTTTCAGTAGGGGAAAAAATTTGTAGTACTTCTACTTTTGATTGGTTTATCTTCTTCTTTTCATCAACCCACAATTGTCTTCCTCTTTCCTTACAGTACCCCCTTTCTATTTAATTCCCGTGTGTGAAATCGGTTGCGCCAAGCTGTCACATATCCACTAATATTTTTATATTCAAACATGACTACGCTATACTACGACATGATGCTCGTCGATGGGGGGAAGTCGCACGAGAAATCTGAACTTCGTCTCCCCTGCGTGGGTTCTCGCCACTCTCGCCCGGTGGTTTCATCTTTCCTGCAGAATAGGTACTCTCGCCGAATCGGCGCGAATGAGTGGTTGGGCGGGGGAGGCCTCTACGGAAGCCCCTTTCTTCCCGATCTTTCCAAGGAGGAGGCGGCGTGGCTGCCGGTTGTGAAGTCCGCCCTGCAGGACGGCGCGATCAAAGACGACTCTTCCCTGCCTTTCATCCCCTACACCGGAGGGGGTTGCTTCGCGTCGATTCACAGCAGTGGGGAGGGGGTTTCCGAGAGGGGCTATGGATCGTATCATAATCGTTTACTAAACGAGATCATGAAGAGGGAGACGACCAGACGGGAATCACTGCTTTTCGAAGAATGTCATTCCTTCACCAGGTGCATCGTGGATCACTTACAGAGGGTGTCTGAGCTGATAGGTCTAGCCAGCGAATGTGAGGCGGTTTTGCATGAGAAAAAATCTCGACAACGGGATAGAGGGGCGATGCTGGAAAAAATTGATACCGAAACCGTGAATCGCCTTGCTCGTGAGCGTGCTGAAAAGGCCCTGAAGCAAAAATTTGCGGCCCTCCTTCCCTCCCATTCGCAGGGACGGAAAGAGATCATCTCCCAAGAGCAAGAGGAGTTGGAGAAATTGCTGGCGATAGAGAAGCAACAACGACCATTAGGCCCCGGCTGCTTTTTGCCGAGCTCCATCAAGAAGGATCCTCGACTGGGCAACGTCCGTCCGCTTCGCAAAGGTGCCAAGTCGCGAAAATCTACCACTACTGAAAGACATCTCATGCGTCTTCGGAGCTCTTCTCGGCGTTCGGAGGGTGCGAATTTAAATACGCAAAGCAAAGCCTCCAGCGCGTTGGCTCTTCTGACTAGTATGGGGTCCGAAGAGGAAATAAGTGAGGAGAAAATTTTCGAGCTCCAGGGGCTTGAAATGTACCGTCAGGAGAAGCTTACCAAATACGCTGCATTAAAGCGAGCCAGGGCGTTTAAGGATCTTGACGAAGAAGAGGATCTCCAGCGGCAAGATATTCTTAAGGAGGAGTCGGAAACGTGGATTCCGTTGCTACGTCTTGGTGTGGATGGGATTTACGAGGCCAAAAATCAAACACGTCTGCGTAAGGCTCGCGAAGCAGCCGAAGAGGCCAAAGCCCAGGAGGAGGCTGCTCTGCGGGAGGAAATCAAGGAGCATCTGGCGATTGTACAGCCTGATGAGCAACAACAGCAGAGAAGCCCCACTCAGATTCTATCCAAGCCCCAAGATGGCGGTGAGGTGTTCGATGAGGAGAATGAGGAAACCATTCGATCCGAAGCCGCCACGGCGGAGATCGAGCGAATGTGGCAGAACTACTCCTTCGACAAAGAAAAGAGGGCCAGTTTAATCCTGGAGAGTCAGGGAAGTGAGCCTGTGAGGGCTGCAACCGATCTGAGGCTGAACGAGTCCACTCAGCGCAGCGTGGGGGAGGAGGGCCGAGGGGGTTCCCCGGCTAATTCCCAACCTGATGCCTCTCTTCTTGTCGCCTCGGCGTCGATGAACGACGGCCCTAACGCCCAGCAGCGGAGCCTTACCACTGAAATGAGCCCTTTTAGCACTTCGCATCTCTTAAAGGTTCTTTGGAAACAGGATCTGATGTACATGTCGCTTATGTGTCAGTTCAGCGATCATATCGAGAAGTTTGAGGCCGAACACAAGGAAGAGGTGACTAATATTATCAAGGATATGCTGCGGCAGCGAGTCAATCTAGTAGAAGATCAAATCGAGCATGTATGGTGTATCTACTGTCGGTTCAAGCTTGAGAAAAATATCAAGTCGGAGAAGGGAAAAGACAAATAAGCGTTTTCTTTTTATTAGGTAACATTACGAATATGTCTAGAAGCTTTTTTATTATGTAAGTATTCATAATCATAAGTACAGTTCATTATTATTGTTCTCATTGAAAGCGTAAGTTCATAATCACAAAGAGTTTCCATGTATATGTGCATGTGCATTCATTTGTATATTGATCAGTTTTGCTCTTTAGAATTTATGTTAAAAATTGTTCTTACCATCAGTGATTTATCTGACAAGGTACTATTTGATTTTCAGGTGGTATTTTTAGTCATGAAGTAAAAATTCAGCTGTCGTGACACCATAATAAACGTACAATCTAAGCGTTGCATCCTCCTGTATTTTTTTCCCTGAAAGCTTGACTTTTCGAAGAAAAAATGGCAAGCTATTCCATTGCACTTAGCAGCCTATCATTGAATCACGGCATGGTTCCGTCGACGGGGTGGGGTTGCAAAGCACCAGAGGACGACCACCTCTGACAACATCTTCTACGTCGAAATTTTGGTCTACTTTACTTTTATCTTTGTCTCATCTTGACAGCTATAGTTTTTCATTCGAAGAGTTCACGAAGATAACCCATGGAGTACGGTTAAAATATTCGGTTCGGTATGTTATGACTCTTCTAGCTTTAAGGTGGTAGGATAAGATAGAAAGCAGGCGAGATGGAATCGCTTCCCCATCAAGGGTCTTCCATGACTATGAAATGCACTTCATTCCTACTTTGCGTTCTTTAACTGATTAAGGATATCACACTGGAGTTAGTGGTTTTATTTTTCTACAAGTCAAGGGCTATTAGAACGAATAACGCCTAAGAGTATAAACGGTAACTCTAGAAGAAAGCAAAAAAGAGAGATATCCCGACGCTGAAGATGCCTGGGATGCGATTAGATTTTCTGAAAAACCCCTCTCAACGGGTAGCGACGGGAAAGTCCTTGCCCCTCAAGCAGGTGGAGGCCATTCTCATCTACGGCAAGCCGGATGTGAAGAGCAAGGTCATTCAGAAGATCCTCCCCGCCACATACGCGCTCTCCCTCGACAGCTCCACCCACCACCTTCTTCTTACCTTGCTCGATCACTCCGATAACCTTGTACGGGTGCAGATGCTCTACCACGTCCGCCGTAAGGTTCTCGATCTCTGCACCTCGCCGGCGGGGAATGTGGTGTTGCAGCGGCTCCTCGAAAAGCTCCCTGCGCGGCAGCGAAAGGAGGTCGCCGAGGGCTTCACCCTCAGTGTCGACGCGGAGGAGTTTCGTCGGATCTGCACCCACCCTTTCGGCAACCACGTCGCGCAGAAGTTGTTGGGGTATGTGGAGTGCGCCGGCGTGCTCGCGCCCGTGTTGCGGCCGCACCTTCGCGAGCTCGCTGGGCATCCCTTCGGGATGCGGGTTGTGGCGCGTTATGTGGCGGAGGTCGAGGACGGATGGCGGGAGGTCCTCCGTTCGTTCGCGCCGGAGATCCCGTGGGAGGAGGTGGAAACCTTCGCCGAGGACGACGCCACCGACGAGGCGATCGACGCCGCGCTGCATCCGCTTCTCACGGCGGAGGTGGAGTCGATGGTCGTCGCCGCGTTGGTTCGCCACGTGCGGACGCCGCTCCCCGTGAAGGATGCGATCTGCGCGCACCTCTGCGAGTTCGCCGTGGATTACCTCCACCCGGATGAGGTCGCGGCGAGGAAGCACAAGGCGCCGAAGCAGCTCGCGGAGGAGTTTGCGGGGCCGGACTTCGTGATGCCGTCGGCTCGGCGACGGAAAGGAAAGGAGGGGGCCGACGCCGAAGGGGCGACCGCGCGGCATCCGCATCTGTTCGCGGCGGTCTTCGAATCCGGCGACGCCGCGCAGCGGGAGGCGCTCTGGCGGGCGATCCA